TTTTTCACAAAGGATCAGAATCTCCGAAAGCAGCTCAAACTGGACTCAAACTGGACAACAGACAGTAGCACAGCGTCACCATCTGCTGATTCTGCTTGGAGCAAAGAATCAAATCTTTTTTGCACTTAAAGGGAACCCTGTCTGTTAAGACATCTAGACCCCAAAATGGCGTACATGTCCAACACTGTTGTAATATATTGTATAAACCAATCAAAATACTTTATTTATTGATAAAAATCGACAAAATCCTTTTACTAGTTCATACCTATAAATGGTGGTTCTTCAAGGGTTCTTTAGTAAAGAAAATGGTTCTATAGAACCATAAATACTCAAAGAACCCTTTGAATTATGAAAAAGTTCTTCAGATTGATGGAGAATGTGCTGTAAACAGTTCTATGCAGCACCAAAAGGGTTCCGCTACTGCAGCAAGCCTGACATTGTAACAACATAAGAACGCTTTTTGGTGCTAAACAGAACCCCTTTCAAGAAGGTTCTAGATATATATAGAACCATCTACAGCACATTCTCCATCAATCTGAAGAACCATTTCACAATGCCAAGAACCCTTTAATTATGCAAAGGGTTCTCTGAGTGTTCATGGTTCTATACAGAATTATTTATTTACTGAAGAACCCTTGAAGAACCACCATTTTTATGCTGCACCATAGGATTCTTATATTGTTAAGATGTAGGTGTGTTGCAATAGCAGAACGCTTTTTGGTGCTATATAGAACCTTTTTCAAAAAGGTTCTACATAGAACAACCTGCAGCACATTCTCCATCAATGTGAAGAACTGTTTCATGATGCCAAGAACCCTTTGATCATACAAAGGGTTCATTGTATGAATAGTTCTATACAGAACCATTTCCTTTACTAAAGAACCCTTGAAGAACAAACATTTTTAAGCGTGTAAGCTGCCATTTTTGTTGCCTCATCAAATGGTTGCTCTCTCTCTCGTCCACTGCAAGGAACAGTGAGCTGAATCTCTCATTGCACTTGACTGTATCATTCAGCCATTCCAACTTTAACTAGAGCGTGACGTTCCTCAAGAGAAGAGCGTGTTTAGAGTTGTGATGAAATAAAATCACATCCCAATATTATGCATTTTCAAGACATTTTTCACAATTCACTCTGTGTGTAACAGCTTTGAATCTACACAAAACACAGAATGAAATAAAAAAAGAATATCAGTGATGCTATGATTAAGGAACATACTGTGTTTTTCATATTCTTGTGGTCATCAAGCTTCTGTATGTCTTGCCTGTGGTCACAGAGGGTGGAAATCACATCCAAGACCAGATAAACTAAAAAAAATATTAGCACTGGGTGTGGTAATGTAATTATGCTTATTTCAATTATGACCTTAATCAGATTAGGATAATCAGGCCAGTCATTTACACAACTGCATGATCATTATCATCATAATCAGATTAATATCAGTCAGCGTGGGTTATTATAACAGTGCAAATGTGTTAGCTTTGGCTGCAAAACAATTTTCATCTGAAGTCCATGGTGTGGGAAAGAGGTATAATACACTGAAAAAGTGCTGCATTGGATTTCTACATGAATAAAATATATCAGAACTATATAAACTATACTATATATAAATAAAACAATGTCCTTCAGTTGACTCGCTTTTGGCAATAATCATGTTAAAGTAGCATATTTCATTAACATGAAAATATTGTACGGATTTGCATCATTTGCACTGTAAAGAAACACAGATATACGGTTGTATGCAAAAGTTTGGGCGCCCCAGCTCAAATAGCATACTTCCCAAATGCAAAGAAGTTTCTCTCCAGAGAACAGACATTTTAATGCATAATTACTGTTTGTTTGCTGAATTTAATATATTGGGGAAAAAAACATAATCTGTGGCCTGTGCAAAAGTTATAGCACCTGTTATATCTTGTATTTTATAATTTTCTGTCAAACTCAGCCAATTGTGCACTAAAATTTGCATGAAAATTCCACATTTAAAGGTGTCATAGAATGGAAAACCGTATTTACATTGGCACTGTTGTATAAGGAGAGTTCAGTACATGGAACTCACACACCGTGAACCTCAAACACTGGTGTCTCCTCCTTCAAATATAAGTCATGCATTTGTAAAAGAGGATGGTAAAATGGGCCAACTCCAAAATCAAAGTCTTATGTAACAGTCTTGACTCATAAATATTTACTCCCCCAAAATTTACATACACATGCCCATGTTGTAGCCCAGCAGGAAACAATGGCAAAGGAGCAACAGCAATAAAAATGGCAAACTAAATGCAGAAATTGTATCATTCCAGGCTGTGAAGGGATATCAGCACTTTTTATCCCCTTCCCAAAATACCGAACTGCCAAAAGGATGATGTTAATCTATAAATGAGGCTGAAGTTGGCTTCCTGTTCGCCAGCTTCTACACTGAATGTTCCATTCCACCTTAAATGCTACAGCTTATTCAAGTGCCAGAGTGTAAATGCGGCACCATTTAAGGTGGAACGGAAAATCTGCGAAACAAGCTGGCGAATAGGAAGCGAACTTCAGCTCCCACATCTTTAACAGGATACCGGACAGCTTTAATACAGAGTTGTTAGTTTGCATGTTTCACGCTGGGCAGTCTCTCAGAGCTTGGACAATATCAAGCAGCTTCACTCAGCGTTTGGCATTGAAGAGACTGAAAAGACTGAAGAGATTAGAGGGGCAGTTCCACCTTTACTAGCATCACAACCCCGACAGCAGCCTGTAAGCAGCCATGCTGTGTGATTTTATCCACTTTTTGACGGTTGAAGCAGATTATCTTAAACTAGAGGTTCTCAGTGAGATAACAGCTTTGATTTACTTTGTGTTGCTGTCAAGATTGAAAGCAAGTAGCTACCACAGGTAACATTAGTTACTAGCAAGCTGTAAGTAACTAGCATAGTTAAGTAAACAGCATGACAACCAAGCTAATTTACACAAATGTTTATTTTATTTTCCTGCCTGTGTCCATTTCGACATGTTGCAGATTATTCATGAGCACCCCAAAAAAGGGAAAACAGCTTGTTTCATTCTAGGGCCAAATCATAGGGCTGTAAATGGGTGCGTAAAACCACATCAGGGCATTTTTTACCCTGACCAAAGTCACCTTCTATGTAGACATCAGAGAACAATTTACAATACTGAATAAATGCACTCTATGGCATCTTTAAGTGCCACACTTTTTCACTTAGAAAACCAACAAAACGTGCCATTTGTCTGGGGACATTCAAACTTTTGCATGCAGCTGTGTATGTATAAAGATATAAATGAAAGCAGGTTCTGAGTCTGTGTGAAGTAGTGACAGCACATACTGTTCCAAACCTCCTGCTGACTTTCTGCTTCATGCAATATGTGGTCAGTATGCTCAACTGAAACACATAATTTATGAGAATCCATAAGCGAGGTCCACCTGGCTCCTCTATTTCAAAGAGAAGCAGCATGTCTGATCAGGACTGATTAAAACATAGACCTGCATACATATTTAATGCAAAACATGCATTCTTTTCAAATTATTAGGCAACATAAGCAGGCCTGCCACAATTATTACGTAATGGCCTGATTGCAACAGCAGACTGCAATTATTTTCCACAGTTGTTAGCGCTCATAAACATATGTCTACATCAGAGAGAGAGATTGATGTGGCATGTAAACATTGTTAAAGATTTAAAATGTACCATTCACTCCTCAGTCCATATATGGAAACCAAGCAGCCCATTTAGAATTCCCTGTTTTTGTAATGTCACGAAAACCATCACTTATATGTATATCTGCATATTCAGTTTACAGCAGTTTAGCCCCGCCGATTCACGCTGAAGTTATATGGAATGTTGTTTCAGTCTGGACTGCTTTCTGAATGAAGGTAGAATACAGGGCAGCCAATCAGAACAGAGATTATCTGCACACAATCAGTCGTTTGCAAAAGTTTGGGCGCCCCTGGTCAAATTATATGTTTTGTTGAGTTTTTTTAAGTGAAATTAAGTTTCCCTCCAGAGAACACGCATATATACATGCCCATTATAATGCACAGTTACTGTTTATTTGCTGAATTTAACATATTGGGGGGGGGGCAAAATCTGTGGCCTGTGCAAAAGTTATGGCGCATTTTAATCTTAAATCTTGTGTTTTATAATGTTCAGCAATATGTTAAAATCATCAAATAAATAGAAACCATGCACTAAAATTTGCATAAAAATTCCATCATTAAAGGTGCCATAGAACAGAATGAATTCACATTAGCACAGTTGAATAAGGAGAGTTCAGCACATGGAACTGACACACATCCTCTACAGAGAACACACTTCTACACATTGTAACATTGCACAATTGATGTTTATTTGCTGACCTTAATATACTGGGGGAAAAAAACATAAAATATGGCCTGTGCAAAAGTTATGGCACCTTATATATTTTTTTTTTCCAATATGCAAACAGAAATTGTGCACTACAATTTGCAGAAAAATGGCACATGTAAGTTCCCTGTAGAGGATGTGTTAACTTATTGTCTCTTAGAAAGTCTTAAAGACACAATTCAAAGGGATAAAGAGAAATGGGAAAAATTAATTATGGCTATTTTTGACACACAAATGTTTTAAGTGGAGCTCAGGGGAAAAATATTGGGCCTTGAATTGCAATACAGACGAGTTTTTTCCCTGTTTGCTGTGTGCATCCTGACCAATCGTAGCCCTGGAGGGGAGGTTTTTGGTGTTTTGATTAAACAAGGCTTCATATAATCCAGCATAAAAAGTTGTTGTTCTTTTTAACATGCTCTTAAAACATCACAAGGTGCATAAGACGGTAACAATAGGTAGCAAAATGACAGCAGTTTTTGAGTTTTGTCCATGTTATGTGGCCCTAATCAAAAGCCAAGCATTTTACTTACATAAACATACACATGCATACAATTACAATTATCATCACACTTTAACATGTGAGAATGACGAACAGAGGCAAAGAAACAGAAAGCAAGAAACACAGGAGGTGTGCAGATTCTTACCTGTATCTCTTCCTCATGTTGGCCAGGCGGTTGAGTGAGATGTGATCCAGCGGAGCACTGCCGCACCTAAAGACAACAGAAAACATCAACATCATCGATTTTAACTCAAATATCAAAACCCAAACAAACATCCTACGTTCATCTCCTCTTCACTCGCTCGATCCACACCACAAACATCCCCAGCGCCGAGGGACTGATGTGATTGATTACAGCTTAAAATCAGTTTCAACTGTGATGGAGTATATCAGAAACTTGGCTTCTAAAACTCGACCCCAGTGTCAGCACATTAGAGAGCTCAGCCCACTATCAAATGTGAAATTAATGGCTTTAAGTGTCACAGTGAAGTCATCCAAATGGACTCCAGCAATACTAGCAATCACCAAAATGTCATATCCACTCAGCAGTGGTGCAAAAGCGAGATAGCAATGTCAATAAGTGTTACAGCGGACCTACTCTTAACTGTTAAACGACCGATGTCATGGAAACGTTTATCATTTTTTGGATAAAATAGTGTGACGTAGTACGTAAGCATTGTTACAGTTTCAAATTTTACCATTCGCTCCTCAGTCCATATGGCTCATATATGGAAACTAAGCAGCTTGTTTGGAATTCACTGAATTCGCTGTGAATTGTTTCTGCTCCTCTATGGAATGTCCTTGAGCCACACATTTAGACTGATATGACCATAGACTACAGATTAAAAGAGATACAACACAGAAAAAGTGCTAAAAGAAAGAAAACGACTTACTTTTAGTAAGCTTTACTTTTGTGCTTCTTAAAGCTGCAAATGGCTCATTTTCTTACATTTCAATAGCCCAACGTGACTGGCAGTCACAACAGATGCAATTTATTGGTGATTAACTATACTATCAATAATTGGCCAAAGCCTATCTGATACTTGGTACTGGGTTTGTTGCATCTCTAAATAGAAGTCTATTGATTTTCGTTAATTTTTACATTTTTTTACACTATATGGCCAAAAGTAGGTGGACACCTGACCATCACACCTGTAAGAGCTTGTTGTCCCATTCCAAACCCATGGGAATTAATATAGAGTTGCCACCTTTTGCATCTATAACAGCTTCCACTCTTGTGGCAAGCTTTCCACAAGATTTTTGGATTTTGTCTGTGGGAGTTTGTGGCCATTCAGTCAAAAGAGCATTTGATGTTGAATGAGAGGGCCTGGCTCGCAATTGACATTCCATTTTCATCCCAAAGGTGTTCAGTGGGGTTGAGGTCAGGGCTCTGTGCAGGTCACTGGAGCTCCTCTACACCAAACTTATCAAACCATGTCTTTATGGAGCTCGCTTTGTGCACAGGTGCATGGTCATGCTGGAACAGAAAAGGGTCTTCCTCAAACTGCTGCCACAAAGAGGGAGGCAAATAATTGTCTAAAATGTATTTATATGCTGTAGCATTAACATCACCCTTCACTGGAGCTAAGAGTCCTGAAAAACAGCCCCAGCCCATTATCCTTCCTCCACCAAACTTTACTGTTGGTGCTCTGGCAATGTTTTCCTGGCATCCACCAAACCCAGATTCATCCATCAGATTGCCAACCAGAGAAATCTGATTAATCACTCCAGAGAACACATTTCCACTGCTGAGTCTAACAGTGGTGTACTTTACACCACTCCAGCCGACGCTTGGCATTGCGCATAGTAATCTTAGGCTTGTGTGCAGCTGCTCAGCCATGGAAACCAATTTAATGAAGCTTCAACGCACAGTTCTTGTGCTGATGTTGTTTCCAGAGGCAGCTGTTGCAACAGAGGATAGGGGATTTGTATTCACTAAGCACTAGGGGTGGGATAAAATACGGTGATATTCGGGGCCCACTTCGACCTTTACAGCATTGTAGGAACCCAGAGGAGGACGTAAAAGGTATAACCAGTATTACTAAGTCTATCGCTGGGTTTATTTGCAGGAACTTTTACATATATAGTGTAGTTGAAAATGAAGGTGTTCTACCTTTAGACATTTCAACCCCAGAACTGTTCTGCTTTCTAGCAGTTTATGGCTATTTTACATTGGAATGATGACACACACAGTCAGTGTTTGTGTGTTAAAGAAGTATGAAGCTAAGCTATGCGTTTTGTTGCACATTGTTTCATGATGGTTGTCAAGTTCTGTGAAAATGACACCAAATAAATACCTAATCTCTGCTATTTTCTGATTTCGGAGTATTTTATTTTCTTCGGTTACACAGGTATCGTGTTGCATCATAGAGGACTGTCTTGCAATATAGTGTGTCACAGAATCCCAGTATCGTGATGTCATCATGATCATGGGCAACGTATCATGATAATATCGTATCGTGAGATGCCCTGGGATTTCCACCCCTACTTAGCACGCGGTGGCCCTGCTGATGTTTATACACCTGTTAGCAATGAGTGTGGCTAAAACTCATGTCCACATACTTTAGGCCACATAGTGTACATTTGCCTTGTAGGTCCAGAGCAAAACTAAAGAAATAAACTCTGGATACCAACTACATTCAGGATAAATAAGGAAAAACTGTCAAAATTTGATTTTCAGTTAACTGCTCCATCAAGATGGTACAGAGCAAAGTGTTTGAACCCGAGAAGAGGTACACATGAGGTTAATTGAAGCCGCAGGGGCGTAATTTCCCCCCACCAGAATCACTTCCATTGCATTTGGCGAGGCAGTTACTTTTTCCCCCATGAGCGAAGCCAGAGAGGTTGCTCAGCGCTCAGTAATGCGAGGCATGCGTGTTTTTTGGTACACAACATGAGGACAAACAGAAAAAAATGCCTCCATCCGTCTTTTTCCCTGAAGCCTAGTCACGATGTCCAAAAGCATTAAGGTAAAGCATTACATAATCGATTCTGTTTCTTTAATAACTCTGTAGTCTAGTGAGCGATGAGGATGTTTTGAAAGATTCGACTTGCCTCGGGTGTGTGTTTCTTGTCAGAGCACATAGTCACACACACACACACATACGCACACACACACACATGCTGTCAACCTTCGACACACTGTTTCGATTTTGCTAAAGCGGCCACAAATAGAAAACTTCAAAGGCATGCACATTTCTGGCTGACATTGCTGACTGTGATTAGTTCATGCTGAAGAGCACAAAATACTAAAAACAAAGCACACAGAGCCTAAACATACACACAATGTCAAATTTCAATCACAGGACATCACGACGCAGAGCGTTTGTTGTTTATAACCGACACGTCGCACTCTAAACAAATTCAGGACACGCGTCTTTCATCGGTAAAAATAGAGAGGCAGCGATTTCTCAAAGGATTCGCAGGATCAAAAAATACCTATTCACTAATTTGTGGGTAGCAGAGGAATTTCACTCCTGATTTTTACCATCTGAACAGAAGAAACAACAAAAACAACTTATTTTGGGTTGGAGGACAAAGAGAGACGGATAACCTCATGGCTGAGACATGCAGATAAACTCCTCGTCTACTTCCAGGCAGACATGAAGGTTCATACAGAGTTTAAGGGTAGAAAATATGGTCACATTTTATTTGTTTAGTCCACTTTTGATGCTTTGTAGACACTTAATTTACTTTCAAGTTACATTCAACTAAATTGTCCCCTTAGAATTATAAGGTTCTGTCTGTGCTCTGACCAGTTTTGAGATATGGAGCTTCAAAGATTTTGCATTCCAAATAGCAAAGTTGATATGTGGAACACGTCTGTGTCATACATGAAAATGACAGACACCCTAAATGTATTCTAAACGTACAAAATCAAAATGCTCAAAAAAAATGGTTTTTTTGGAACAGGCCAAACGCAGATAGAACCTTCTAATCCTAAGAACTTACTTTCTGCTTGGAATTATGAGGTTCTATCTGGCAAAACGTGAAAGGGAGCAATGATTCTCAAGGAATACAAACAGTTTATACTCGTAATTTATTTTAAAACATAAAATGAGTGTTGTAATAGAGTGTCTATAGAATGTATCTGAAAGTTACATTTTGATTGATATATTAAGCATAAAAGTCAGTGCTAAATGTTTTGTCTAGTGCAGAGGTCACTGTTAGGTAGGAACCATTAGTTTAAGTTTCCTTTAGGTCAGACAGTGACCAACTACTGTAATAAACTGTCCCAGCAAGTAAGGGTAGCAGGTCTGTATAAAGGCAGTGTGAGGTTTTGTTTTTTATCAGAAATGTGACTCTAATGGGCCAAAATGTCTTATATTGGGAGAAAGAATAAAAAGAAAAGATGGATGAATGAATGAAATTAATGTTTATGTTGTAATTAAGAGCCTGTCAAATCAAATTGTTCCCTATTTAGTTTCCTTTAAGGCTTAACATTTATCAAATTTAAGACAATAAGACTTTTTAAAGAAATGTAAGGAGAGTTAGAGTTTCAGCAACATGTTTTCCTGTTATATAAAGTTTTATAAACTTTTTCCGCAGTCACTGAGCAGAGCAGCGAAATGACAAAGAAGCTTGATTGGTCCTCTTGTGTGTATTCGAAGTGCTGATTGGCTCACAGATAGGACCTTATAGAACCAAATTAGAATTTGACTTTAGAGATAAAACATTTTTGTTTTTTAGACAGAGTCCAAAAATGCACACAACTTAAAAAAACACCTCACATAAATGTTAAGAAGTTGTTACAGAATAAGAATATGTAAATAAGTCAATTTTGACAAATATGTCAGACAGAACCTTATAATTCCAAGGAGACAAAATATCTATTAAATCTACCAGAATTTTCTTTAAACCTGGCTCTAATCCTAACCCTAACCTTAACCTCAACCCAAAACCTAAACCCAACCCTCACCCTGGTCCAAATCCAGAACGCTTACAAATCAGAAATCACTTCCCAAAAGCTTTATTGTTAAAAGTATGCTGCATAGCCACCTTAAGGTCTGTACAGAGAACAGCACGTCATGCTTGCAGAAAGAAGCATACTGAAGTACACCAATAGTAAACTTGAAGTATAAAGAGAAAAAAGTATATCATTTATTTAATGTATTCAATGGAAATCATTTTTTTCTGTATTTGTCAAAAAATATAATTCGACAGGACCACATTTTAAATTATAATTTAGTTTGCTGTACAGAAAATCACACATCATCTAAACCGCTTATCATTCTGGGTCGCAGCGGGGTGCTGGAGCCTATCCCAGCTGTCATTGGGTGGAAGGCTATGCAGAAAACACTTGTATGAATGTATTTCTTAATATACTACAGCACACCTATGCACATTTAACATCATCAACATCAGTTTTTATTTATTTATCATCGATTATTTATGAATTACACTCGGTTGATCCACTACATTTGGAAAATTTGTGTTAAGGTGACTTTTTTCCTGAAATGCTGAGCTGATAAGATGATTCAGGTGTGTTAGTGCAGACAAAACATGTAACTAGACTTCCAGTGACCTTTACTTGTGGGCAGAGAGCTGAACCAGCAACCTTCTGAACCAGACATGAAAAATCCCAGTCTGGAAGTGCTGTACTGTACCTCATTCTGCAGATGAAGGAGCGTCTGGAGCCCATACACATCCTCATAGAGGACTGCTGTCCCTCCTTCTTCACCGTCCCTGTCTTCAGGTCCAAGATCCGGCCTGTAAACACATACAAAGAAACAACAGTCAGGAAACAGCATGATGGACTGGGGTCAGCAAAATGACTACATCACTGTTATCACGTCACAGTATATTTTTCTGAGCAAATGATGGGTATGGGCAGTGTCCACTGGACAATTGCATGAATCATAAAATAATACAGGATTTAGACCAAATAATAAAGAGCCTGTAAACAGCAACAACCAGCATACAGTAACTGCATAAACTGCTGATTGTATCACAGCCAGTTATACCAATACATTATTTTCCATCCTGTTCCATCTACACAGGTAATATTCTCTCAATACTAAGTAAGGGTGCATGGTATGACTATGGGAATTCCATAGATTTTTCCAGTCAGTACTGTTCACAGTGGTGGTAACAGAAACCAGACATCAAGTGTTTAATATCTGTAAAAGCTCCCTCACAGAAGGTTCTTACATGAAATGCCTAACAATATGTTCCCTGATGTCTGAATCATTACTTTAGAATAGTTTTGAGAAGATTAAAGTGTATTTTTAAAACATTTTTATGGTGGAGTGGTACTTGAGGACACTATAAGAAAAACTAGTCCTGAAGGAAAACTTTTTTTTCAACATTAACACAATTTTATTAATTTTGCATATAAAGAAACGAAAGACGTGTGTAGGTTTACTGGTGGTTTTGGATTGTAAATAAAAAGGCTATATTTGTGTTGTAGTCATGACAACCCCTGGTTCCTATCACCACCACTGTAAAGAAATCTGAGTCTGTAAGTTTGTCTACAATGAACCACTTCACATCAAATCACTCAGAATGACTTTGATTACATCTTAACCATTGAATTATGCAGTAATGTTGAAAAATCAGGGGAATTTCCCTTTAAGTCAAGTCCTGGACTACAGAGCGTTCTGAATAGAGATTCTCCACTGAAAGGAAAAAGAAGCCCAGGACTAGGTTTAATCACTGTCTGGGAACCTGATCCAATATATATCACCATATTTAGTTTTTCTGAGGTTTGATAAGTCATTTGCATTGTAGTGGTTGGTATAGTGTAGGGGGTAACACCTCTGCCTTCTACACTGTAGACTGGGGTTCAATCCCTGTCTGGGTAAGCACCCTACACTATACCAATAAGAGTCCTTGGGCAAGACTCCTAACACTACCTTTGTCTACCTGTGTAAAATGATCAAATTGTAAGTTGTTCTGGATAAGAGTGTCTGCTGAAACGCCGTAAATGTTAATGTACTGAACGATTCACATACCACACTGCACCAAATTCAATTAAGTAGGACTTATTTGCACAATTTATAATGAAACGTAGTTCTTCAACACTCTTGAAGTACTACAAATACCCACAATGCACTCAGGAAGGTGTATTGTGATGTAAATTATCATGAAACAATAAAATATTGTCATATTGCACACTCCTACACACTTAAAAATGATGGTTCTTCAGGAGTTCTTTAGTAAAGAAAATGGTTCTATATAGAACTATAAACTCTCAAAGAATCCTTTGCATGATTAACAGGTTCTTTGCATCATGAAAGGGTTCTCTGAATCGTGAAAGAGTTCTTCAGATTGACGGAGCATGTGCTGTAGATGGTTCTATACAAAACCTTTTTGAAAAGGGTTCTATACAGAACCTTTTTGAAAAGGGTTCTATACAGCACCAAAAAGGGTTAATCTCTTGTTATGATGTCAAGCCTATAACAATAGAAGAACCCTTTTTGGTGCTAAACAGAACCTTTTTCAAAAAGGTCTTATATAGAACCATGTAAACGACATTCTCCATCAATCTGAAGAACGCTTTAAAAACCCTTGAATCATGCAAAGGGTTCTTTGAGTGTTCATGGTTCTATATATATATATATAACCATTTTCTTTAATAAAGAACCCTTAAAGGACCATCTTTTTCAGTGTGTAGTATTAACCTGAGAAAAACAATATATTGTGATACATATTGTGTATCATGACACTGTATCATTATATGTTTTGCCGTAATGTCACCCTTATAATGCCATAACTCTTGGTCTTAGGCTTCTGAGGCTTGTGGTTCTTCACTAGGTTTTTGTATAGTTCAATACCTCCCTTATTAAATCTGCTTCCCGGACTGCTAAGAGGACGAGAACACACTGAGATCCAAAGCAGCCTAACATGTTCCTTGGCCAGTACAGCAGTCAAGGGGTGATTCATCTCCTTTTGTTTCTCAGTGATACAGACACAGGACACTACAGGACAGCAGTAAGCTATGATCTAAGCTCAAAGTCATGTCCATAAACAAATTATCTAAAAAGGTCTTAATAAGAGTTTGTGGTAAAAAGAGAAGACTCTAAAAATGATCTGCTGACAGCTGTTAGAGCCCCCCGCGGGGTGCCTTAGACTCCCTTACAGTCTTTGCATACTGAAGCGCTGACGCCGACGTCTCTGGAAGCACTTGAGCCATTATCCTTCTCCACAAAAATAATGACATTGTGATGACCCCTTACAGAGTTGAAGACTGGTAGAGGAAGATGAATCAGCACTAGTATGTTCATTAAAGTGCGTCTCTATGAACGTCAAATAGCTCTATAAAGGAGCAATCGTCACCACTGCTGAGTAAGAATACAACACAGTGCCAGTAAAAGAAGGTATGTGGGGTAGTACACTCTTAAAATAGGAGCCAAAAGTGTTCTTTGGAGCGATGCCATAGAAGAATCATTTTTGGTTCCCTGAAGAACAAATGCCAATCCAGGCATTTTAATGGATTGAGTATTGGCTAAAATAAGCCTGATCAACTGACGTCTTTGCATTTGTGGTATGTTATAGAGACATTATCTACAACTTGCAGTGAGGACTGTGAGTACTGCTTAAAAAAAGCACTTTAGATGTCTGCGATGATGAGCTACTTAACTATGGAAAATGAATCTCTTGCATCCTGGCAATTTGGCTGCCTTATCACTTATCATGTAAAACCTGAGCATGCAAGTCTGACGTTTCCTACGAGCAACATGCACAATGTTTTTCACTCGCGAGTCACGACTGGTTAAAAAATGAAAGTATTTCAGTGGCGATCTGCTTTACCAGCAACAGAGCTGCGCAGAGCTTCTGGTGGTTTAAAACCAACACACCATACACCACGTATATATACACACACATATATATATATATATCTGTTTATCTTACTTTATCTGTGCTTACTTTGTTAGCCCCCTTTTACCCTGTTCTTCAGTGGTCAGGACCCCCATGGACCCTCAGAGAGCAGGTACTTGGGTGGTGGATCATTCTCAGCGCTGCAGTTACACTGATGTGGTTGTGGTGTGTTAGTGTGTGTTGCGCTGGTCTGAATGCATTTACAAAAATGCTTATTTAAAGAGGCACTGGAAGATTTTTCATGGAACCAGAAGTTAATCTTGAAAGTCATCGCTGCAAAAAATATTTAATATTTGTAATAAGCAAACCTCTTCACAACTTCAGACTTTGAAAGAAGAAATTTTGAAGAATTTTTATACAGAGAGATTTAGGTGCATCTCTAATTCTTGGCTTAACTGCAACCGCGACAAGGGTCAGATGAGGACGATGAGGTAGCAGTTTGCAAGAGCAAGTTGGTAGTTTTATTGCAATTCATACCGAGAACAGAGGAATCACAGACAACAGAACAAAAAGAAAGACTAAACTAAGCACTCAGAAAGAAAGCTAGAAATTACACAGACAACACTCACAGAACTAACAGGCAGAAAAGAACAAAGCAGACGGACATCTGAAAGACAAGAAAAAACAAAGGCTAGAGAGCAAACAATGCCAAGTATGGAACAAGACAAAGATAATGGGGCACACAGATACTGGGAAGCATAACCGGGAAACACCTGAGAACAATTACTGGGTGAAGTTACAAACAAGACACAGGTGAACAGAATAACGAGGGGAAAAGGAGACAAGGCTGGGGCGGAGAAGAACAGGGAGGAAACTGACTGAGAGTACTGCGATACGTACTGATAATCAGTCTTTTTCTTTAGAACAACTAATATAGTTATATGCAAAAGTTTTGGCGCCCCTGATCAAATGATGTTTTGCAGATTTCTAAATTAAAATAGGTTAATATGTAACTCTAGAACACACTCCTGCACATTTTAATGCACATCTACTGTTCATCTGCTGAATTTAACATGTTTAACAATTGTTAATTTACAGAAATAAAATGCAAATTCACAAACACAAATGCTTATCTTTATTTCACAGATATTTACAAACATTGTAATGTTGTTGTTGTTTTTATGCTGGTAAAATACTGTATCAGAATAAATAGTTGAACTAGTGAAAAAGCTGATTTACAGTAAAAGGCAAAATATCTTGAAATTAAATGACTGTAATTTTACTGATTTTTACCATTTTTGAGAAAACATACTTTTACTGTTAATTAACAGCTTTTGCTGCAAGATTTTTTACCAGATTTCTTTTTTTTTACAGTGTACTTTACAACTTCACATGTTTCAACTAAATATTAGAAAGCAGGACCGGGCAATATGACTGTAATTATTATTATCATGATAACAGCCACAGTGTATGCTTCCATCACATCATGTCACATATTGGAAATAAATAAGACATTAAACATGACCTGTGCAAAAGTTACAGAACAAATTATTATTTCTTTAAAAATTTCTTTTAAAATTGCCATATTTAAGTTTCCTGTAGCAAATGTGTTATTTTTACTTAACAAACCATGTAATCTCACCACATGACTGTATGTATGAAATGAAGCCTCACTAGAAACTCCTTGTTTAAATCAGTGAGGTTTTACTTCACACATATTGTTTATCATGATGCAAAATGCTGTCTAGTACCTGCTGCCATATGTAATATTTATGACAGGTAAATGAAGAGGACACGACAGCGGTCAGTCCCAATTCATCTCTGGCAAAGCAATGATTCAAGAGGAAAACATCCTTTCAGTCCAACTTCATTTTCCACCAAAGGCGGCAAAACTATTAAGATTAAAGAGGAATTTTCCAAAATGTGCGGCGCAAGATGTTTGGGACCCC